GTCTTTTTTTCTTGTTTTCTGATTCAGAAATGACCAAAGACCTTTTAGTTTTGTGTTGTTCACGTCCACTTAAGCCATAAAATAGTCTTATTTATGCCAAATTTTGATTTATAGTGGATTTTTTTTAATTTAACCAAGGGGTTTCTTCTGGCTGGAAATGACATAAACAAGTGACAAAGGACAATAAGACTCTGTGTTCAAGATGTTACTGCTGAATTTTAGCAGTTTTTATGCCAAAATTATTCATCCTCTTCCTCAGTAATCAGTGTCAAAGTCTTTATGTTCCTTCACATCAGTCCAACAGCTGTTCTAGTGTCTAACAGTGTTTCTGGGGTTTAGTTCCTCCAAGTGTCCATCTGCAGCTCTTGGAGCTTGAAGGCTTCCTCTTCATCACTCTGCTCTTCAGCTCCTCCACAGGTTCTGGATGGATTCAGGTCTGGACTCTGGCTGGGCCGCTCCAACATCTCCTCATTGTTTCCTCTTCACCGTTTCTTCACCACTTTGGCTGCATGTTTCACATCATTGTCTTGTTGAAGCTCCACTGCTGCCCAAGAAGCAGTGTTCCTGCAGACCTCCTGATGTTCTCCTTTGTTCTCATGATGCCGTTTCCTTCAGACAGGACTTGGAACTGACTAGAGAACTGCTGCAGGTCCAACTGAGCTTTAATGAGTCTGTCTTGGAGAAGTGGATCCTCCTTGTCTCCATGGAGACCAGCCTTGTTGTTGGTCTGCTGGAGTGTCTGATTGACATGTTGCTACCAGAACTGCTCACATTGATCAGGATGCTCTTGGTGCTGGTCCTTGGGTTCTTCTTGGCCTCCACCATTCTTCCAGTGCAGGACTCACGTCTGTCCTCCTGCAGCCCTTTGACATGTTCCACAGTGAGGAACTCCTTGGACTTTTTCATGATGCTTCAAACTGTGAAAACTGGACCTTGAGAACACTTGATATGACCTTATAGCCTTTAAACATCTTGTGAGCAGCAACAAGAGGCCCTCACTGAGCTCTTTGCTTTCAGCCATGACTAGTAGCTGACTAGAGAACTACTGCATCAGCTGTTCTCAGTTTATAGTTCATCAGAACACTCTAGAACATGGTAGAAACTACCAGGAACATTTAAAATCATGTGAAGCTGCATTTTCTCAACATTCTGCAACAATGTTAAGGAGATTTAATATTTAGGATGTCACACTTTCAGTGAAAATGTATAACAACAACATCAAATGTATAATCTCAAGGCCTAAATCCACCCAGAAGAGCAGCGTGACGGAGAGGAGGCCTTCAAGCTCCACGACAGTTAGACGCCAGAACAACTGTTGATTAGGAAGAATTTGACCAATTTTGGCAACAAATAAAAAACCAGAATGTTTTACTGTCTTTTGTTGCTTGTTTATGTTATTTCCAGCCAGAAGAGACCTATTGATCAAATAAAAATGCCTCAAAAGTTGCCTCAGGTGTGAATAACTTTGAGCGTAGCTGTGACTAAAAAGCAGCTCGAGAAGCCGAAATGCAAAGAGAGCGGAGTGGTTTCAGAGCTTTATTAATTTGTCTGTTGGATAACAGAAGGACTGAGTGCTCCAGTTGCAGCAATGATTAAACTAAACCCAAAACCCTGAGCTGACAGGAGCAGTTTGGAACTACAGGTTGCAGCGACGAGGAGGGTCACGGCTCCTCGTCCTGCCCGGGCCTGTTCGCCTCCCGAGCGCCAGGGGACAGCTCCAGCCCCGGCTTCTTCAATTTTTAATCGTTACGTTGAATTATTCTGGCTGCCTGCCGTGTTGTGCCACCGTGAATTGGGCCGTGGAGTTTGCGAGTGTGTCTCAGTGTTTTTTTTTTTATTTTCTGTGTGTGCAGGACGTGGACGGCGGGGAGACTGATGTGACAGCAGAGGCCGGGGTTTGCCACGAACGCTGGAAGCCTCTCGGAAAGCAGAGCCATAGCAACAGAATGAATTAATGAACAGGACATGAATGCTACGTTTAACACAAGGTACAAGACACACACACACACACACACACACTTACACAAGCCACGCCAGCTGGTGGTTTCATATTCAACACAGATAACCTGGTAATGCAGGCTGAACCAGAAGAGCTTCTGCAGCTGCAAAACAGCCAGACAGCTGCTCACAGCTCAGGAAATAAAAGAAATTCTCTCCACACACTTCGAACTAATGTGACCAAATCCAGCCATTGCTTGTTTTTCGTTCATCTCAAAGGAGTCGACTCTACAGGACGGCGTGTGTTTGTGGCGATCAAACAGTGATTGTGTTGTCGTCCCTCAGAGACGCTGCGTAGTATTAAAATGATTAGATTAGATTAAAACAAATAAATTACCACTCAGAGCTTCATGCCCCTCCCTGAGAGACAGAGAGAGCAGCTTGTTACTGGTGTCTGCTGAGCCAGTGGTGTTCAGAAAATAGTCTGCAGCGCCCCCCTCAGGAGAGCAAAGGCAAACCTCTTTTACAAAATCCAAGGGAAGCAAATTTAGGAGAAATCATACAGAAAAATGTAAATATCAGTCAGCCACTCAGACTAATTTAAATAGTACACCCACTACAGCAGCTTTACACAGGTTAGTGCAGCTGGATGTGCTTCGTAGATGATTTATCAGCTGATATTGAGACACAGAAAGTTTAGAACTCAATGGAATGAAGTAAAAAAAAATAAAATTAAAACAAAACTAGATGAAGCAGATTACAAGGACAAAACATAAAAATAAGATGAAATAATATAAATGATTTTTAAAAAGTGAATGCAAAAGACAAAAACAACACATCAAAGACTATACTGAAAAAAAATATAGATTAAAACGCAAAATATTTTTAACAAAATATGATGTAATGGAGGAGAAAAAATAAAGATAAATTTTAAAAAATGAAAGAAATGGACAAAACACAAGTAAACTTTAAACTAGATAAAATAAAGTCAAACACAAAACATAAATTAAAATAAAAATATACCATTATGATTTTTTTTAAAGAGAAATAAATTAGATCAAAAGTATGAAACTTAAAGTTAAGATTAAAAAAAATCATGAAAACAAGAAAAACATATTTTAAAAATAAACTAGCAAAGTAAAAACTAGATTTCAAAATGGGATAAAACAGATTTTAGAAAAAGACAATGTCTAAGCAAGGTCAAATTGGTAAACAAAAAAAATTAAAATTAAAAATTCCAAAAAATAAT